TACATCGGGAAATCGTTTGAAGATGTTATTTCTCACAAAGAATCTAGATAACGCTTGAGTTTATTGACTAACAATTTCCGAAACCAAACTTTTCCTGCCCTCCAGTCAATTCTGACGCAGTGACCCTAGGACAGAGTGGAACTGCCTGCGTGGCTTTGGGAGCTCTATGTTTACAATAGCGGAGAGCCCCCTCTTTCTCTTGCTGGGCTGCTCCTGGGTTTGGACTCCGTATCTTGTGCTAGCAACCCAGTGGGAATCCATCTGCACCATAGGCCCCCACAGTCACCAAGGAGAGCTGTTTTAAGAAGGATTATTTGGGTTTTAAATGTTCAGCAGTTTATTAATGTCTCCATGGTTAAAATTCCAACATTTTAGGAGTTTTAATTCAACTTACAAGTCTTATTATTTTGTTTATCCAGCCTGTAAAATTTTATGAAGAGTAAAAGCCCTCTTTTTCACAGACTTTCATTTAATGTTTATTTAGCCTTAATATATTAGACTCTATCCTCCTTAACTGGCTGTCTTATTTTTAGCTGCACTTATAAATTCAATATATTCAATGTCCTTTTACCTTACTTCAAGTAGCTGAAACCTGACAAACTTGCATTCCTATCAAGCAAAACCATTTTCTGTACTTAATATCCTCTCAGAAATCTTTTAAGTGAAGCCATATAGTGACTCTAACCATTCCACTACTCTTCACAATGTAATTAAATTGTTTTACACCCTAAGAATACAAATCTAAAATTGTTTATATGTTTTAAAGTAGAATCAACAGACTGTAAATGCCCAGTAAGAGAATACCTATATACTCGAGTATAAGCCGACCCGATTATCAGCCGAAGCACCTAAGTTTACCACAAAACCGGAATTAAAAATGTGCTGAAAAACTTGGCTTATATATACTTACCTGGCAAGGGAGACACCTTGATCAGAAGGTGGTTTTCCCAGGAAGAGGCTCACCCATGAGGTTCCCCAAATGTGGGAAACTCGACTGCATACTTTGTGGTAGTGGGGAACTGCGTTTGCCCTCTCCTCTAAGTTAAAAAGCAGAAGAAAAACTTGGCTTATACACGAGTCTATATGGTAATGCTCGCAGAACCTGGCCCTCCTCCTTCTGTAGACCAAACATTTGCTTTATCAAAAAAAGTGGCATACATTGGGGGGGGGGGCAGTTTGGTAAACTGATAGTTCAATAATGTTAAAGTGATAGAAAGTTTCCTTAAAAAAAAGTGTACTCGACACTGAAGTGTAGATGGAAGTCTTCTACTGTGCATCACTTTAAGGATACTAGAAGACACACAGACATCACATCAGTTCATGGACTTTTGGGGGCCATGCTGCACAAAGAAATCAGGGGAGAGTCTCAGCAGAGGCCCAGTCAGGCTTCATGGAGAACTGGAGAATGCTCTTCAGAGCATGCCTCAGGGTCTACGAGTGTTCAGCTGTGCAGATAGTGAGGCTGCCCATTGAAGTGGGCTTCTTGTGCTTTATTTCCCCAGTCCGCCCGTCAGCTTGGTGTGTACACCAGAGAAAGAAAGCCTCTGTATAGCACCAGACACTCGGCTCCCTGGATCACTTTCCCCATAGTCACACCATGGCCGCCGTCCCAGTCGTCAGTGCTGGCTATACAAGTCCCCAGGGAAGTATTCACCTAGCCTGTGTTGTTGTCAACGAGAAAGTTAGTGTTTAAGCCAGATGTGATCTTTAGATTTTTTTTTAATGCTACTAAAAGTAGCATTCAAGTAAGGCATATCTCATTAATTCTTGACAACAACCTAAGAGGTCTGTAAAGTATCCACATTTTAGATGTGGAAACAGTGGCCCAGGAGAAGACCAAGGAGGCCCTCGACTCCCCCAGGAAGTAGTAGACCCTGGACCTCCAACTAGGGTGTTAGTTACTACGGTTGTGATTCAGAAACACAATCAGAAGAGCCCTAAAGTTCCCGAGCCATTTAAACAGATCATGTTCTGAGGCCCCAAATCAAGAGCATGAGCCCACGGGAAGACTGCAGTGAGATGGTGAGATGTCATCCAGATAAAGGCATGCTGTGGTGACAAAACACATAGCCATTCCTCTGGGAGACAGTGCTCCTCCACGACTTTAGTATACCCACATATGCTTACGAGATGGAACTCACAGCCCTTATACAGGATGACAGCAATGCAAAAGCATTGGTCATTGTTGCAAACTCATTTAGATTATAAAAACTATATTAATATTTTAGTCAAATGCAAAACTTTTTCACTGGTGGATAGAACAATTTCCCAACCTGTTTATGTTCAGAGTTTTACTTCTGCCCCTTTATGGTCTAATACGCTTTCTGTTTTTTCTTTTTTATGAAATAGGGTCTTCCGAGGCAGGCTGGACAGCTGGAAAGCCAAGTCATCCTCCTCCCCGCAGGCCTTCCCCCCCCCCCACTCCCCTTGCATGCCGTTCTCATGGTTTCAGGAGAGCAGAAAAGGATCCTACTCCGTCAGGAGCCTGCCTTCACCTGCAAGCCCACCTCTGCCTTCTCCTGAGACTCTCATTTCAGATAAAAAGGGGTCCAAGGTAGAAAACCTATGGATTAAAAAAGCAGACAAGAAAAAAACCAAATCCCTGCTCTCTTTCAATCTATGGACAGCACTCTCAACTTCTGTGTATACCTCGGACCTGAGAAACCAGTGTGATACCACTGTGAAAAACCGTGCATGGTATTTGTAGTGTGGGAAGAGAAAAAGCCGTATTTAACCTCCACCTCTTTAATACTGTTCCACGTTAGCTTGCACATTACTCTTTGATGTGCCTGTCTCCTCAGATATTGCTGCTCAATCTCAGTTTGACAGTTAAACCAGGCTGGGGAAGATGCATGGAATCCTTGAAGATATGATAGATTTGTTTACCAAGTGCTCGACTTTAAATTACATTACAACATGATGGTACTGTGCTCTTCAAGATTTACTGGGAAACAAATAAATTTGGGACTGAATATGCATTCAGTACATCTAAGTGAAACTCTTTAAAACAAACCCAAACTGACATAGCACCATTCTTTATTTCTTCCTTTAATATCAAGATGCCACGTTGAACAGCTGTTAGAATTCTGTCGCTGACGTTCTTTAACGTTAGCAGCATCGGGAATATCTGCATGGGCGTTGACTCTAAATGCATGCTGGTTGTTTCCAGCATCGTGCTGCACACCTTAGCCAACATCTTACTGGAACACTATGGCGCCTCATTTCCCCTGTCGTTTGTTCTTCTGTCTGTGTTCAATGTTCACTTTTCTTTCAACAAAAAACACGACTGATGTGACTTGAATTTAATTCTTGGCTCGAGGTCAGCAGCTCAGAGAGGTTGGGCCATAGACGATGTCAGAGTGTAACGTTCCGTGAGAAATGCTCTTCTGGGTACATGGTCTACTCACCTAACTCTGTCTACACTCACTGTGCCTCCCTTTGGAAAATGTTAGGAAATCACGGAGTTGGTTTGATACTGAATTCTCTAGCCTCTGGTGTGTATTTATTCTTGACAACCAACTAAACCCGATACAAGAGAATCTAATTGAAAACTAATGGCCCAATGCCCGAGGAAGGGTAATATGAAACAAGATGGTGTTGGACAAGTACTTAAGAATTCCCAGGGAGCCAGCCATCCAGAACAATTTTTTCTGCATCATACGATTGAATCCCCGAGCCATCTAGCTATTGTTTGAATAATCCTACCATTACCTTACACTGGAGAGTCTTCTGATTTGTTTAAATTTCCCCCCTGTGCACCTGCTACATGTCCATGATCAGTTTATTTGGTTTTACTCTTCACTAAACATTTGAAAGGAAGTTCTGGATGTTTTATTTCACCCCATCCCCATCACCAGCTCCAAGTGTGTGTTTGGCAGTGCGCACGGTCCTCTGCTGCGCCCTCTCCAATAGTCTGCTGGGGCTGTGGGAGAGAACCTGCTGGTGTACTGTCAGACCGCGACTCCCCCAGAGCTTATCATCTTGAAGGCCATATCCAGGAGAGGATGTGCCAGTCCTCACAGTGTTTATTGTGGTGTATCCCACCACATGCTCTCCTTCCCGGGAGGTGTGATAGCTACCTTGCTCGTGTGGATTGCCATCTGTTCCTCAGAACTCAGCCTCTCCACACCAACTTGTCTTTTTACTTTACACAGGTACCTCGATTAAGAACGAAGAAGATAGGCTTATTAATATTTCTCCTCCGAGCAGTTGCAGAGGACAATGTATTCCGTACCCTGGAAAAGAGATTGAAGAATCTTTCCTTTAAAAAACCAGTCCTGTTATCAGCTGTAGAGGGTGCCCAGAATTCCCAATCAGTCACAAATGAGACAGTGTTCTCAACCACAGCTTGGCTGAAGGTCATCACCAAACGGAGCATGAATTTCTTAAAAGATTGTTTACAAAGAACTCTTTCAGGCACCGGAAAGACACCTCCCGTGGATTCCTTAATTGTGTTCACTTAACACTGGGCTTGATTGATTGCCTTTCTTTCCAGAATTTCACCTTCAACGATGACTTCAGCCCCAGCAGCACCAGTTCGGCTGACCTGAGTGGCTTGGGAGCAGAACCGAAAACGCCCGGGCGCTCTCAGTCCTTGGCGCTGTCATCGGACGAGGTACTTGCATGGCATGTATGACAGAACCCGGTTTCTCACATCACACCGTTTATCCAGGAGCTACCTGTGGGAAGAGTGTGTTAGCATAGATTTTACGTATAAGTAGTTGGGGCTCGGGTTTAATATTTAATTATGAAAACTGGACGATTATCTCTCGTTTCCCTTCTGTTGTGTAAAAGAGAAACAGAAAATTGCCTGTGGGATTGACTTAGTACCCCAAGAGATGAGTAGCCGGAAAGAAATGTTGGTCTTTGGGGCTGCGGGAGGGATGCTCTAAACCTGGGGTGGGGTGGGGGTGTTGCTCTAAGTGTTTGCTCCTCCTTGTTCCTTCCTGGCATGATTTTTGTTTTGTAAAACTTTTTTTCCCCTCTTGAACTGTTGTGCCGTGTTCTCTAGGCCTGGTTGCCATGAACCTGTCCAGAACTCTGCACTGTGTACGTGTGTCTCCTGGTCCTTTAACGCTTTTCTCTTTGATTCCCTTCCTGCTCCCTCCCTCAGAGCCTGGACATGATAGATGATGAGGTGAGCCTCCGAGCAGTGACTGGTGGTGGTGCTGGTGATGCTTGAACTTCCTTTTCGCTCGGTGCCACTAGTCCAGACAGTCAACAATGCAAGGACTCCTGTGTCTCTAGGGAAACTCTGCCCGTGTCTATAAGAGCTGTTTTCGTTAAGAGGGTCTCCCAGTTTCTCCCTCAGAGTTCCTCAGTTGGTTTCCCATCGCCATGACCTCTACACAGTCCATTCTGTTCATTGCTCAGCTTTCATCTTAGCATAACTCATCCTCCTGTCTGTGTCCCTTACAGGGTCACCCAGGTGACACTGTCTTCCTCCTGCCCCTCCAGCCTAGGGGCTCTGGGGTAGTGTGCTACCTTTCACCATGAACACAAAACAGGTCTGGACAAAGCCTGAGATTGGGGACACAAGCACACTGTTGAGTGCCACCCCACCGACCGGTCCCGGAGAGTTCTCGGAACCTCCGCTCCCTCGTCCATCTACGGGAGTCCTGAGTGTGACCTGCTCTGTCTTACTCCCAGACAGGATGATGAAGGTGGCGTTCCCCTCAGCTTCAGAGTGTAATACGCTCCTCTTTTTTTTTAAATCATTTTATTGGGGGCTCAGACACTCTTTTTTTTAAAATCGTCTTATTAGGGGTCCATACAACTCTTAGCACAATCCTTACATACATCAATTGTGTAAAGCACATTTGTACATCCATTGCCCGCATCATTCTCAAAACATTTGCTCTCCACTTAAGCCCCTGGCATCAGGTCCTCGTTTTTCCCCTCTCTCCCTGCTTCCCCCTCCCTCATGAGCCCTTGATAATTTATAAATTATTATTTTGTCATATTTCGATACCACTATATATCTTGAATGTATTTTTTAAATCTCAGTGTCTTTTCTGAGGATGAGTACAAAAGAGGGTTGCATTGCATATGGAGATGTTTTATAAAGTCTTTTTTTCTACATCCAATAATGTTGCCAAAGTGTTTTGATGGACACGCTTGCAACATTGGAGTGTATCTTCACTGTTAAACTTCCTGCATTAATACTACTCCTTCATTTGGGGTGGGTGTTTTAACCTAAAAACATGAAAGTAATAAGTATGTTTCTCTTTAAATTTAGTTATAATACAGAAGTTGAACTATTAGCTTATCATTTTAGGACTTAAAAATAAAAGTGGCTCTCGTAGGCCACAAAGCCCTCCGTTGTACAGTGTAATGTTCCATGCTGAGCCTGGGCCGTGTGTTCCTCTAACCACACTGTGGGACATTCCTATCTCAGATCCTTGATGAAGGACAGTCTCCCAAACTCAGTCATTGGCAAAACCGGTCCGTTCGTGAATGGAGTGTGCAGCAGGTTTCGCACTGGCTGATGAGCCTAAATCTGGAGCAGTATGTATCTGAATTCAGCGCCCAGAACATCACTGGAGAGCAGCTCCTGCAGTTGGATGGAAGTAAACTTAAGGTAACGAATTATATGTCTGTGTTAGGTTTGTTACACGTAACACCTGAAATGCTTTCATTCAATAAGAGCACTCTGCTTATCTGAGAGGTAATTCTCATCAACAGTCAGCAGAAAGGATGTTGAGTTATTTCTGAATAGTGAGTTTGAGAGTTTTGGAATTCCCACTAGGGATCAGAATCCAATAGTAGGCTGCTGATTGGGAGAGCTGGGGACCACTCCATCACTTCCACCTAGAGATACATAGTCCATACATTAACCCTACTCATTTCTCATGTAACTTGAGTTTTAATAATGGCCAGTGTGGACCTTTTTATCCGAACAGAATTAAGAATCCAATCCATGAATCTTTCCCTCTTTATCCATTTCTCCTCCATGCCCAAGCTTCCCTGCATACCACTCCAGAAATATCCCCAGGACTTTGCTCCCGAAATACATGTCAGCCCTCTGTTTACATTCCCTCCATCATACTCTCATTTCCACTCATTCACTCCATCTCTCTTAGCGGCTGAGGGAGCACCCAACCCTATGGAAAAAGGGCAGAAAGAAGCTCAGAGCCAGCTCCCCTGCCACCCCCTGCTAGGATGATGAGCGGATGAGTATCTCTTGACAATCTTGAAAAGGTTAGAGATCAATCAATAGTTTGTGAATCTGAAGCCTCCATTGACAAGGCTGTCCCTGTCGGGGAGATGGATGCATCCGGCTGTTGATTCTTAAGGTCATGAAACATTGAAAGTATATAACCAACCCCCCCACCCCCCAGATTCTGAATGCCAAGCTCCGTAGAGCACTCTTCTCATTATCATCAGACTTCCTTTGTAGTTCTGCCCACGGGAGTGAATGGCTAGTCATGCTGATATGGGCACTCTGGTCCCCAAAACATTTTGGGTTCTCATTGAAAATGGAATGCATGAGCAGAAAGGAAACCATTTCTATTCGGCTTGCCCTTCATGGAGTCCTTGGAAGCAGCAGTGCCCATCCCCCTCTCTCTGACAATACCGAGGAGTGTGACAGTACGTTTGCCTGTGAGTGTCTACGAGCCAGATGTTGCACAAATGGGGCTGTGCCCCAATCTTTTTTTTCCTTCTCATTCATCCATCAGTTAATTAACAATTTGTAAAGCATTTCTCTAATGGCGTTGAGGCTCTCCTGTGCTGGAGTCTTTGGAGAGCAAATAAAGCACAACCCCCGATGCAATCTTTGGCAATTATAATGAGGCCCCCCCCCCCCCCCCCCGCTTCCGTCCTTCCTCTCTGTGTTCCCATGAGCGGGGGAGTTTGAGCACAGGGGGAAGTCAACCTCATCCTGAACAGACGTGCCATTGGGTTTTCAAATTTGGTTTGCGTTTGTGTTTCCTTCTTAGGCTCTTGGAATGGCATCCTCCCAGGACCGAGCAGTTGTCAAAAAAAAACTGAAGGAAATGAAGGTGTCTCTCGAGAAGGCTCGGAAGGCTCAAGAAAAAATGGAAAAACAAAGAGAGAAGCTGCGGCGCAAGGAACAAGATCAAATGCAGAGGAAGACCAAAAAGACCGAGAAGATGGCTTCAGACGCCACCCAAGGCGCTAGTGAGCAGTAACACACACTCCGGGAATGAGGGTGGAGCTACTCTGAGTGGTGTCCCTGCCTCCACCTTCTCTGGAGGACAAAAAAAGAGAGACTGGTGACAGGGGAGCATTACTCTAAGCAGATTGAGGAACCACATCACTGCATTTTTTGCAATAATTGTACACACTCTTAAATTTAACATGCTGAAATTAATCCCAAGCTAACTTTGTTTAATTAACAAACCAGGCATCTCATTTGTGAGAGCTTTGTTTCCCTCTTCTCTTACTTACCAACCATCTTGCATTGTGTCGGGTGTGTGGTACCACTCGAAGAACCAGCGTGGCACTGCACACCAGGAGCACGGTACCGCCCCATGCCGTGACTGCAGCACCATGCGTCTCCAGTTAGGGTTACTGGGACCGGGCCCTTGCACCACTCAACTGTGGGATCTGGGGTCAGTACTTTCTTCTGGCCTGTGGAATCTGCTCCAGTGTGTGGCAAAGGTCCCCCTTCCCTTCACCCCAGTGTCTAGGCACTGAGGCAGCTCCACGCTGGAAATGTGGGTGCTCTGTCGCAAGGGAGAAGGGAAGCAGGCATTTCTGCTTGCTAGGTGGGCCTGAGAAAAAGAGTAAAGATTTGCAGTCTTGGGTCCACCCCAGAAGGAAACTAGGCCTTAAAAAATGCGGATCATGTGGGTGATTACCTCTAGGTAGTCAAGCAAAGGAGCAATGCGACACTCTGGCGGCCAGGGGTGGTTGGGGTCCATCATTTGCTTTGCTGTGCGCCATGTTCGGTATTTCAATCACACTGACACACCATACGGGTCCCCCACCCCCACCCCACCCCAACAAATTCTGAACAGGAAATTGATTTTTAAGGAAACCTGTATTTTCAGGCTCCTCTCCTGGGGAACATGCTGGCCGATCTTCGCCTGACTATGATGCAATCGGGGACACGTCACGTGTTTTCTGCCGTAGATTTCCCAGAGGGGCTCCGTTAATGTTTGAACAAATGCACTTTTAAAAGAAATAGAAATACTAGCTAGAGAAAATTTAGATTTAAGTAACATTCAGCCTGAGAACCACATTTTTTTTTGAGCAAACAGTGTTCCTGCAAAGGATAGCTGTCACTTATATTGTAGAGATGTGTTTTGAATGGTTTTTCTGAACCATTATCCCCGATACTTTAGTGAGTTCCACTTTATAATTAAAGCGGATTTAAGGAACTACAAATTATACTTATTTCAAAGCCGGTTTTAAGGCTTTCAGTATTTCACCAAATAAAGTTCAAGAGTCTGGGGAGAAAGAGGAAATGACCTCATTGAGAAATTTCAAATGATGGGGTTTGGTTTGGTTTGGTTATTTTTTTTTGTTTTTTATTTTTGTGTGCACGTATCTGGTTCTCTTTGCTGCATGGGCTTTAATAATGAGGTCATCCTCTGACCTTTGCAAAATGAGGCTTGAAGTATTTTGCTCCCTTTATTACATGGTTCACTGCGTAGCCACTGTAGTACTGCTACCTTCTACTGAACGCATGGTAGTCACTGAGTTTGGGGGGAAACATTTGAAGATTTCAGGTTACAAATCGTTGGAGGGGGTGCCTGCCCATAACAGCCCCATCTCATATTTTGAACATTGTGATTTATTGTTGTTTTACTTGTCTGAATAACTCAGTTCTAGTGTTAGACGTTTATAACCCTGTTCGTCCCCTCAGGGCGGGTTCCTTTACGGCCTGAGTGGTGTCTGTTAAGCTTCTGCCTTGTACTCAGTAGGTCTGGGCATCACCCTATCCTCAGAAGTGCTGGCATTATGGAGCACGCTATTTCTCCGTTTTCAACGATCAAAGCCATCATGTAGTTTTTCTGTCTATCGTTATTTGGGGTACGATAATGAATTCACCACCTGGATGGGATGTTCTGTTACCATCTTGAGATGTCTGCTGCTTTGCTGTTTATTACTACCACAAGAAACTCTAACATGGGGCAAACCCCTCTCATGCTGAAAGATCGCATTCGTCAGCATCTCGTCTTACTAAAGCTTATTATGGTGAAGGCTGGCGATTTTTGCTTGATTTTGGAAAAAGGAACCTGGATCACACTGGAAATTCCACTGTTTTCATTTCAAGAGTGGAAATAGAAGATGAGTGATTAGCATAAGCTAGGTTTACACATGGTCAATATTTGAAAATAGGTGTATATACTGGAAATGTCTATAAGTCTGTCTCTGCACATAATTTATGATCTGTTATATTGAGTTTACTTAGCTGTCTTAAAAAGATTCATCTGTATTTATTTACTTTTAGTTTTACAAGCCCAACATTATGTTCAGTGTCCAACTGTCATGATGATAAAATGAAAATCTTATTTTTCAAATCACATAGCCTGTAACTGTGGATTTTTTTTAAAGTTAAACTGGTAATTTCAGATTGTACTGAGTTTTTTTAGCATTGCTTCTTACTAGTGTCAAAATTGTACAGGGGCACTTGGTGTGAATCTCTTAGGAAAAGGATGAAATACACACTGACGGACCGAGAGGCGTGTGAGAAGAAGACGGAGGCCGCATCTCCTGCGCACTTTGTTTTCCTAATTGCGCGTCTAGTGACCTTGAAGCATGATGCCTAGTGGATACTGTTTTGCACCATTTCTACTTTAATGCTAGTGCTTTTTAGTGTCCGTCTAATTTAACACATAAACCTTCAAGATTTTGTAGTTTTTTAAATGAATGATCAAATCGGGGCAAAAGAGAGTATTTGACCATGATGAACTGTATTCCCTAAAGGGCAGCTCAGTATGATACTAACAGCAGCCACAGGTATTTGGGGAGATGATAGTGCTTTGCTTTTGAGTGGTGGTGTTGGTAAAGAATAGCAAACATGTCATGGACTACCAGGGGAACAGGTAAATCAGTCACGGGCAAAGTATAGGTAGAATGCTCCTACGACGCAACGATGGGACTTCATCTCATGTTATTTAGACAGCTTTCCAGGAGGAACCAGTCACGCTTGGTGTGAAGCGTAGACGGGCAGCAAAGAGGAGGCTGGTTCTCATGAGATGCGTGGACACAGTGGCTCTAACACGGGGAGAATGGCGTAAGAGCAGGCAGTGCTTCCTTCTGTGCGGCGGGTCCCTGTGAGTCAGAAGTGACCATCACAATGACAATGCTCTGTGGAGTAGAAGACATGTAGTGAGTCCTGGTTGTGGATAGAGAACATTCTACAAGCTGAGTCTCTGGGTTTCCAGCAGATTACTCTGTGTAAGACGATTCCCCATACAATATCTCAATTTATGTCATGCATTTCTCATCCCTTGTTTGGTCGTAATCAGAGGTATCTTACTACTGAGTGATAAAAAGCTAGGGCTGAAGCTTAATTTTGCCTCTCCTAACACATTGAGGGCTTTGTAGGTCGTTTCCTGAGGGTAAGCTATTGAGTCTAACTTCCTTGTTCTGGGATGAACACTGGTTCTCCACCTTCATCACCACGTGAGCATTTTTAATGCCCACACAGGTTCCTGATTGAACTAGGATAGTATTAATGCCAAACTTTCTTTTCCACAGATATGGAGACAATCTCCAGTGTGCTTCCTTGTGGTTGTTTCGGAAAGAGAACACGTTAGGAACCAATTAGCCCTGGGGACCCTGTAGCCTTCTCATGAGTGAAATCTGAAAATATCCCAGACCCAAGCTAGGAAAATGGCCCCAGTTGGATCTAGTACCTCAGCCTTTATGGTTTTTGCTGAAGACAAAAAAACCCTTAGCTAAGTTCTTTGGGCGACTGTATTAGCATGTGATTTAAAAATATAGTTAAAGGGGCCAATGAAACTTTGAATATATGTGGAGATTCAAACTCCTGAGTGTTAATGGTAATATAGACCAAACTTCGAGACTAATTTTTAGCAAATGTGTTAAAAAAGATTCTACAGCAAGCCCAACAATCCTAAGCGAAACCTCTATAGGTACCTTGGGTGTGTTGTAGTCCCCATCATTAAACTTAGATTTTGCATAATGACCGAATTCCACCTGAGCTAACTGAAGGCACCTTCCCACAGAGCAGCATCTTGGAGGTATTGCACTTTGGCGGTCAGTGGTTCCCAGAATTCCTGGTGGCTTCTGCCTTCCTACTCAAACCTTAGTGCTCGCTGAAACTTGTCTTTGATCAAGGAACTATAAGGACATGCTTCGAAAGCTAAGCAGTGAGGGGTGAGATCTAGTGTGAAGCACCCATCTTTCTGTTAGAATAGTTCCGCGTTGCTGAGGCTAGGTTAAGAGAGAATCTCCAAAGAGACAGTATTACAGGACATCTGGATGTGCTCCTCGTCATCAGCCAGGGCATGTCAGCAGATTTGTTTCCATTCATCTTAGGGATTTGCATTCTCAGGAAAATTAGTCGTGGTCGAAACCACTGGAGAAAAACAGTAACACTAGGCTAAACACCTTGAGTAACTTGAAATAACGGCACAAAATCGGCCCAACAACAAAGGTGGAGGACAAAGGACAAGCCTGCCCAATCAATTCTCCCTGGGGAATGACGTGCTCCAGTTGTACTTTGGGGTAGACAGAGAGTTCCCATGTGCCTGTGATTGGGTGTTTGGCGGGTATGTTGAGGGTTTGGTGGCTCTATAAGTGAGGGCACGCATAAGCAGAGCATGTTACTTCTTCTGGGTGCCCAGCTTAGGGACGGAAAGCAGCATGATGATTTCCAGTCATGGGTCCTGTCTGGCCCCAGAACTATAAGGGAATCAAGAATGAATAATAAACCAACAAACAACTTCTTAATAATTTGCATGCCACTTATGTAGATGTACAGAGCTCCCTGTGCGCGAACCTTACACAGCAGTCACAGGGCATAAACAAAAAGCACTGTATCTGGGGCTTGGTCATGTCATTTGTGACCCACAGTCGTACTCATAGCCTTATTGCCACTTTTTGTGTTGTGTGTACATTGAGATTTTAACAGATTTTTTTAATGTAAGTATTTCTACTAAATGCACTTGACTTTCTTCTACATGTTGATATATTTTGGTAAATTTTATTCCTTAGATACCTGATATTAAAAAAAAAAGATACACTGTCCTCAGCTATTTGATTAGTGTTTTGAAGTCAAGATCGCACTTTGCTGCGCGGGGCCTCAGCAGGGTGTGCAGCTTGGGCATATTCACTTACAGACTGGAGTTTTCTTGACGAAGAGTTACACTGTGTTCTCACGCATCTGCTGCCACTTCTCCACCAACATATTTGGTAGCTGTGCTGACTAACTACTGACTGATAGCAGCCCCTGCCAGGACACGGCCACTTCTTCTTTTTGGTCCCAAATGGCGGCATGGTTTAATGATCAATGCCAAAATTAGTGCAGTGGGCATGAGCGTGTGTATGTTGTTGGAAGGTGGATCCTTCTGCTTAGTTCCATTATTTTAGTCCTACCACCTAGGTTTTCTTTAAAGATTTTATCATCATTCATAGAAGAACAATTGGGAAAAAAGAAAATAATAATGAAATTACCTAAATCGTTGGAATTGAGATACTCCAAGTACATAGCACTTCCCAACAGCGTCAGACTTAGTGCTTAGTGAAATCTCTTCAACGTTTTGGTATCTTTTCCCTCAATGTTATTTAATGTCACAGCGACTGCTTTTGTGTGTTTTGGTGGCATCGCAATGGAACCACTAATACATCTGCTACATATGACTAACGAAATGGGCAGCCGGGTGGGAGGGGGTGAATTTTGTTTCACTGTAAGAAGTTGATTTGTTTTCATCTTACTTTATATATCATTAAAGGAAAAGAGTTGTTTAAAAAATAATTTTAAGTCAAATAAGTATGGATAGCATGTTATCTGAAACTTTTAATTTACACATTTGGATGGCGAATCATTTGCATGGTAGAGACAATAGTGCCACGTCTGAATTGTCCCCTTGTGCTTGGTTAATGTACCGCTCTAGGTCCTTCTGTCTCCAATGACATTCCTTGCTCTGTGGTTTTCAGAGACACTCAAAGAAAAGTACCGCAGTGGTCTTTTGTTTTCTAACCAATCTAAAAATACCTGTGATTATATTTAATTTGTTAGTGTATATACATTTCTTGCCAATGAGTATTATTGTTCTTAGACAACGAATGCAATAAAAAAAAGAAAGAGAAATACTTATCTGTCAAAGTAATTTTTTTTTTCTTTCTCTCTCTCTCTCTCTCTCTCTCTCTCTCTCTCTCTCTCTCCCATTTTCACCTTCAACTAAAACAAGCCCTGACTGGGTAAACCTGTATTAACTGTCAAAATATATCTATCAATCAAGACCAAAGTGCACATTTTCCATGGAAATGAAACTAAAAATAAGTTTTAACTCTGGTAAAGTATAAATTGGCAGGTAGAATTGCAGTTGAAAGCACAATTATGGGACCGGGCATAGAGTTAAAAGAGCAAAGCTTCATGAGAAACTCCCTTGCCCATCTTTCTGTTCCCTTGTCACTGCCTAACTATCAAAGTCTCCAGTGCCTGTCAGGGAGCAAGAGGTCATGACAAATCCATTAAGCAATTGCCATCACACAGTGTGAGGTAAGCGAAAAAGAAAAAGGAGGCCGACCCATGTACAATGTTGTATTTAAGCCATTTTCTTCCTAAAGCCTTAAAATGCAGATTTGGGTGCTGCAAATGAAGCATGTGAAATTTCTCTCATGCACGCACACACACACATGCGTAGTTATCTATGACTCAATCTTTGACGATGTGGCTGTTTAGGCCTGGGTATCTTCCCTTGGAGTGTGTTATGAAATCCCAGTGCAGGGGGAAGCCTTCAAGTTCATGGAAAAAATGGATATAAGAAGGAATGAAATTTTCCCATGAGCCTTTTGAAACCTCCTCATTTGTCTCCTTTTGTATGACTTTTTTTAGTGTGACCTATGTCATATGAGGTAACTTTTTCATTTTTACGTATTTATTAATGAAGAACAAGAGGGAACCTGTTCGTGGACGCCATCATGGAACCAGGTACTCTGATTTGTGTGCGTGTGTGAAGCACCACCGTCACTGATGGCCTCAAAGCAACGTGTCCGCAGATGTCAGCACTCCGGCTGTGGACAGCAGCCCCGGGCATTTGCACCCTCCCAGGACGCGTGACATCACGCGCCTCAAGAGAGCACGCTAAAGGTCATTCTCATCCTTGTCTCCGAGGGAGGTGCTTTTTAGCCTGAACAAAATTGTTCTGTTTACTACTAAGTCAGTGGTCTCAAACTGTTGGCCATTCTCAATTTATCAGGAAGGGAAAAACATTCTCCCAGATCCTAAATCATTATCATGGCAAGTACTGCCTAGAAAAATGTCATTTCGAAAGTGACTGCTCAGTAATGCCCCATAGGAATCGTTCAGCAGGAAGTCAATACCTCTCACAGCAACAAAGTGAGTGAAACCATTGATGGCCAGTTCATAGGGACCCGGCTTGGGTCGGTAGAACAGTGCTTCATAGTTTACAGTGGCTCTTGCTGAAGTAGATCGTCAGGCCTTTTAACTTTCCGATTCGCAGCAAAGCAGGTGAACCGTTCGCACTACCATCCAGTGACACCTAAATAAACCCTAAATAAAATGAACGCACTGCCATGGAATCTATTTCAAACTTATTGTGACCCTGGGGTTTCCAAAACTGTACATCTTTACAGCAGTAGACAGCCGCCTCCTCCCTCCGAGTAGCTGGTGGATTTGAACTGCCTTCTGACTCACTCCTATTGAGCCAATTCTGATTCATAGTGACCCTGTAGGACTGGGTAGAACTTCCCCTGTAGGTTTTTGAGCCTGTATGACTCCTTAATAGTCTCATCTTTCTTCCATAGAGCTGCTGGTGGTTTCGAACTGCTGATCTTGTGGCTCCTAGATCAACGCATCAGGGCTCCTAGCTTTCGCTTAGCAGTCTAATCCTTTCCTAACAGCACCACGAGGGGCTTTTCTAAGAAAACTTGTAGTCATGTCCCTCAAAGCAAGTCAAATGTTGGTCTTACCCATTTGTTGTTGTTTGCCCTCCTGATTTTCTCTTCTCCACATCTACAGCAAGTGAAAATGGAAAGAAGGAAAGAAAAAAATACCAGCACTATCACCACTTCAACCGAAACGTATTCTCAGGTCACTTGGCTTTACCTGACTTTACTGAGGGACCAATTCTATATCCAGTCGTCGGAGTGAATGAAAGATCCCCTTCAACTTGGTCTAAGCAGCCAGTGTGTATCCTTTTGCTGAGCTACAATCACAGTTTACACTTGGGACCACTCTCCCAGAATGGTAAGATTGTTCCTACCTGGCTTTGCTGGTGATGATGGGAAAAGCAGAAATAAAAGAAGATATGGGATAATTCGGTTAATATACTAAGAAAGGTCTATGGAGAAGGAGATTCAAAAGCCAGTCTGGTTTGGGCAGAATGCCTTATGCCGTAGCCATACATAATATGCCTGAAGTTGTGTGATTTGTAACTCCCACTTGGCTTTCTGGCATGCCCATCCCTGAGTGATACAGCTGGAATTCTGGTAGCACTGGAGGAACAAGAGATGTGTTGTTAGGTCACGAACAAACATGCTTATTAACAGGATATTTGAAGCCATTTTATTGGGAAGGATTTTTTTATTGGTAAGTGAAATTTTCAAGTATTCTGACGTTCAGACTCAGAAAAGCCATTGCATCTGCTCCCAGTTAAAAAGCACTCTGATTCCTCGTGAGGTCCACTTCAGGGTCCATGTTCAGTCAGCAGATGAGCTCAAAGTAACCCATACGACGTGGCAGCGGGTTAGAAATGATGGGCTTGGCTTTCCTGGTGCACAGTGCACACAGGCCTGTCAGAGCTCACAGTAAAGAGCTTTTTGGAAGACGGTGCCAATCAGCAGCTTCCTTTTATACACAGAGGCGACTGTGCTTCCTTGCAACACTCTGCCATTATCTGCATAAACCACTGTTACTTTGGGTTCATCGCTTAAGATATCCCGGATTTGAATCACCTGTCAAAGAAATAGCATTGTTGTTAGGTACCGAGTGGAATGGCAGTAGATTAATAATTCTTAGAGTCATTCAAGACTTGAAATATGTGGTCATCTCTCCGTAAGAAGCCATTAGGTAAAACATACTTTGCTCATACTATATATTTAAGATAACTCCTCGTTTGTAAGATGACAGATTCTGATCAGAGCTGAGGGGCACATGGGCAACCAGGGCTATACAGGAAATGTAAATGAATGCAGAGGTGTAAGATGATAGCAGTACAAAACTCAAAACCCCACCACACTCACTGCCATCGAGTCGATGCCACCCTGTAACACAGTGTGTAACTGCCCTGGTGAGGGTCCAAGGCTTTAAGTCTTTATGGGAGAAAAGCCCCCGTCTTTCTCTCAGCAAGTAGCTAGCAGTTTCAAACTGCTGGCTTTGCAGTCAGCAGCCCGGCATGGAACCACTAACCACCAGGTCTCCAGGGAGCTTCGCAGACTATGGTGAATTGGAGCGGTGGCTACTCCGTCCCAGGCCATTGTCACGTGGGCATTCAGGCCAATTTTATTAAAGATAAGCTAGGGATTTGGATTTAATTACTCCTTTTAAATGCTGGTGATCAAAATTAAAGGGAGAGGGAGAGAGAACTATGGGTTAAAAAAAGAACCTATCTCTTCACTGCAACCCAAAGGTTGTAAAACCCCTAGTTCTCTGCCATCGAGTTGGTGCCAACCCACAGCGATCTTATAGGACAGGGTAGATGTGCCTCTGTGGGTTCCAGAGACTGTCAATATTTATAGGAGTAGAAAGCCTCATCTTCCTCCAGTGGAGCGGCTGGTGGTTTTAAACTGCTCACCTTGGGTTTGCAGCCCAACGCATAACCCACTCCGCCCCCAGGGCTGCTCCTCACTACCACCATCCCTTCCTTTAAGGCTCAGATCTCAGTGTATAAGCCTTAACTTTCATTTCCTTGAAGAGAACTTTGTATCATTAGCAATGTTGTATTATTATTGTGAGGTTGACCATCACAAATGGATAATGTAGTATAATCTATAAAAATAGCAGTTTTATATGGTTCAAGCGAATTTAAAGAGTACTACCTTGTAAGGAAGGAGAAGTTGGTCGGGTTTCTATCTCTCGTTTAATATTTGTTTCTCATCTATAGAACGAGATGAGTGGGACTGGGTTATCTATAAGTTCCTTTGCATGCCCTGATTTTGTGTTACTTCAGACTTAGTATAAAATATAGAGTCTTCAAGAAAGGATGTGTGTGTCATAAAATCACCACGTATTGCAGACTTGGGAGTCCAAGGCTGAGCTAGTAAAGAGCCATTTAAAATTATCTCTACAATGGCTGCTGCCAAAGACAGAGGTCATAGGACATTGTCATAGCACATTCACGTATGGTAGTTACTTACCGGAACGTAATTGACGGTGGACCTCAACCTAAGGGAAACTCTTCTAATAAAGCTAAGTCTTTCTTTGATGGGGCAGTGCACTAGATAATGGATTGTCAGTCCTTTTTGTTAGTCCTACCAGATCCATCGTTAAAAAGAAAAGATTTTTACAGAGCAGCATGTTCTGTCTTGGCTGTAGCAAAAGACTCAAGTTCCCCGAATGAGCTAACAAGGAATGACAAATTAGAATCTAATGTTCTGCTGACTTCTAAACAGTGAACGCTCAAGAGAATACGTTGCTTTAGTTCCATTGTAATCTATAGTTATCCTAATAGCTAAAGTCTTAACAAAAGGCACAAAGGATGTTCATTAAAAATGATCACAACTGTTAGGTAAACCCGGAGAGAAAATGTGTGAAGGGTCAGACTATAATGAGGAAGAGTCGCCCGTTAGGCTTTGTTCTCTGTTTTGTTTTGTTGGTTTTTTAAATTATTATTATTATTCCAAAGGCACCGGCTTTGTAATTTTCTTTTTAGCTGGTGCTGGGGAGTGAGGCTGACTCTTACAATTAAGCTTTAAAAATACAGAAAGGTAGACAAACATGAAATCATGTATTTGATGTGAAAACAACTGTGATGAGTACGTACTGAAAACTCAGAATCGAAAGCCCAGCGAAACCATAAAGAAGTTCACACGGCCACGGCAACGACGTTTCCAGGAAGGGGTCCGTGAGTAGGAAGGCAGGTAGCAAACCAACGATTAGACCACAGCAATATGGCATCCTTGTTTTTTAAACTGCCTTTCTAAATTGGAGGAGCCTAAAGGTACGAAACCCAGTCCGATGCTGGCTATCTTAGCCTCATCCTTTGGCCTTCTCCACATACCCTGGTCTGGCTGAAAGCCTTCTTGAGGAGCAACTTTCCCCTCTGGCTTCTGGTTTGGGTTGACCAGTGAGGAATGAGAAAGGTAGAGTGCTTACCATCTGTACCTCAGCTATCACTGCTGGTTGGCTGCATGCTTCAACTAAAGCAATCCCCTCCACACGCAGCCCTCTTCTTGTGCTGGTTTCAGACAGTCATTTCCTGTCTCCCTTGTGTGAATCGGGTGCCATCAGGTTGGTTCTAACACCTGGTGACCCATGTGTTCCAGAGGAGAAGTGCATATGGGTTTCAGTAGCTGTGACCTTTTGGAAGTAGAATGCCAGGCCTTTCTTCCAAGGTGTCCCTAGGGGGATTTGAACCACCAACCTTTTGGTCAGTAGACAAATGCTTAACCATTTACACCACCCAGGGACTCCTCCCCTTGCATTATCCTTATGGATTTCCCTACATTGACATATAGTCCTTCTATCAAACTCCCATCAGATTATCCACTTTGATCTTTTCAGCAGTTTCCTGGAGTTACTCTTACGGCAACACCTCCCAAGGTCAAATTCCTCCTGTGGCTGGACCTTGGGATCAGCTGTTAATTTCCCCTCTTATTTGCACAAAATAAGTGAGAGTTGGCCTTTTCAATGGAAAATGAGAGCTTGGGATAAGGTCACAGACCTGATTCGCTTTACAAACTCACCTCCGATGCAGGAGGATTCTCTTCATCATAGAAGAAGATTCTTGTGCCGTCAGGATGGCATCCGACCCAAAGGTCCCCGGTCACCGGGTCCACCAAAATGTTATCCACCAGTGTGTTGAAGGTCAGCCACTGCCAAGGTGAAAAACAAGGGCAAAAGGCAAAAAGTGAAGAGAAACTGAAGGATGGGCTAGTAGTAGATACATCAAGAGAAAATGTCCTGTTATTCTTGGTCATCAGCAAAATCTACCCCCTTGCAATCCAGGGCAGGGAATTCCCCTCTCCTTCCACCCATGTGTTTTCTACCCTGGTGGGTTTTTTTGTTTGTTTTGTTTTGTTTTCTCAGTTTCCAGGAGAAATGAATAGGGAGAAGTTATGGAAAGCTCCATTGGATTAAATCATTCAAACATGTCAGCCCTAACACATGCATGAGCCAATAATGGGTGTCTGTGTGTGTGCTGGGGCTGGGGGTGGATTGTAAGTGTAGCATAGAGCGGGTCCTTCTGAAATGTCATAGAGGAATGATATTGTTATAAGCATTCAGAGAACCACCAGGAAAGATACATTCATTTCCAAAGAGAAAACAAGTGAAAGGTAGGGTCGTCTTTAACGGCAGCTCGTGGGCTGAGACATGCCCACCCAGGGCCTAATGTTTGCCTTGGCATGGAAGAAAAGTTTGTTCTTTAGTTTCCTAGTGTTTTTCAACATCTGCGCTTTGTTTTCCAAATATAAGTTGCAAGTGTGTGATGATTGCACAGAATGCTGCCGAGGCTTTGTACCAGGATCATAAATAATGCCAACCATTCTTAATTCCACCATTTATCATCTTGGCTGCCTTCCACCAGGGAAAAAATGCTATCCATTAGTTTACCTCTAACTCTCAGTTGGAAATGCACCATCTACCCTAAACCTCAAACAGCTCGGCATACCTAGAGTCCTCATAATAACTAGTTGTGACTCATCGCAAAGTCAAAAGCGTGTATAGGCAGCTGCAGTGAGCCACCACTGCCCTATGCTTCCCACTCAACATGAAGACCGCCCCCTCATCCCCATCCACTGAAGGAACGCTGGTGTTTCTAGCCTCAGAGTCTCTTTGGCATCCACGTGCAGTCGTTACCCTTTCTAGCCTGGAAATGGAAAAGTATGGCCAAAGGGACTTGGGGAGATCAAGTAGGCATCCCCTGGTCCGAATCACCTCCAGACCCTTTTACCTCCCATTCCTCGCAGTCCTGTATCGTTAGGTTTTTAAGTGAGGAAAGCATGTTTGTCTCAGGCTTCTGTTACGATCTTTGAAAAAGGGAATTGCCCCCATCGGTGGATTCTATGGCAGTTGAAAACCTGAGAAGAGACTGGTGGTGGAAGGGAGTGGAGGAAACAGAAACTTGGTTCTCCATGGGTTCAGCGGACCTAGGGCTTATGCCTTGGGCTGCTAACCGAAAGGTCAGTCGTTGGAGACCAGCAGCCACTCAGCAGGAGAAAGATGACGCTTTCTGCTCCCGTGAAGAGGTGCTGTCTGAGAAACCCACAGGGGCAGTGCTACCCTGGCCTCCAGGGGTGCTATGCATCAGAATTGACTCACTGACAGTGCGTTTGATGTTTGAGTTTGGGGGCCTTTGCTTGCTGAAAGTGAAGATTTGAAGCACTTGCTGATGAAGATCAATGGTTGAAGCCTTCAGCATGGATTACAATTCAATATTAAGGAAACCAAAATCCTTACAACTGGGCCAAATAGGGAAGTACCATCGTGATACATGGAGAAAAGATTGAAGTTATCCAAGATTTCCTCTGGCTTGGAGCCACAATCAATGCTCCTGGAAGCGTCCGTCAAGAGATCACAGGATGCATGACTGTGGGTAAATTGCTGCACAGAACTCCTTAAAGGGTTGGAAATCAAGGAGTTTACTTTGAGGCTGTGCCGTGTCTAACCAAAGCCATATTATGTCCAGTCATCTCATATGCATGTGAAAGTTGGACGTTGAATCGGGAAGGCCAACGAAGAACCTTTGTGTTTGAATTCCAGTGCTGGCAAAGGCTATTGGCAATACCATGAGCTGCCAAAAGGACAAACATCTGTCTCCGGAGAAGTACAGCCAGAATGTTTCTTAGAGGCAAAGATGGCCAGACTTTGTCTCACTCCCTCTGAACACGTTCTCAGGGGAAACTAGTCCCTGGAGAAGGACATCATGCTTGGTAACGTGGAGAGGTAGAAGGAAAAGAGGAAGGCCACCACGGAGCTGGATTGACATCGTGGCTGCCACCCGGAGCTCAAACAGAAGACCAAGGGCGAGGCTGGACAGGAGCGGGCAGTGTTCATGCTGTTGTGCACTGGGCCTCTCTGCGTCGGGACCAAGTCAACAGCACCTCACAACAGTACTCAGTTTATGCCCATCGTGGTGTACAAAGTTTGGGATTTGAATCCACACAGAAGCACCTCTGAAGATAGGCCCGGCGATCTGCTTTGAAAAGGTCACACAGCCTTAAGAAGTCCTGCTTCTTAAGCAGTTCTACCCTGCATCCTTCGGGTCTCCATTGAGTCTAAATCGATTCCGTGACAACAGAGCACAGCCACCCTGTCTTATGTAAGAAATTCAGCACTGGAGAGTCCAGCCATGGCTCCTGCCATCGAAGATCTGACTGTCAGCCAGGACCCCACGCTGGGTCCAGCCATGAAAATGTCTTACCTTGTTAATACGTGATTCCTGTTCATGACAGTCACCACATACCTACCAGATAAGACTTCCATAGAACCAAGTAGAAAATGCTACATTTCTCAGTCAAGTCATCTTCTCATTGTTCTTTGAAAAAGGAAAAAGCTTTTCTTCGCAGTTCCATGAGATAACAAAGTCACTTTACATAACATAGTTCAGAAAGACAGAATTCTATAGCCTTGTTGAATGAGTAGTGTCAGAGAAAGACAAGGCTCTCTACCCCCGTAAAGAGTCGCAGTCTCGCAAACCCACAGGGGCAGTTCTACCCTGTTCTACAGGGCCACTACGGGTCAGAATTAACTTGAAGGGAGTGAGTTTATTTGACTCTACTCTTCTGGAACAGCAGATAATGAAGGACATCAAAGATCCAAAGAAAAAATTTGAGTGCCAAAAGCCCACGTGAGCCAGCTACCATACCAACTGCTTTGACCATTGACACAATAGAAGGTTGTATAGAAAAGGAAAATAAAAAAGACCAAATATCGAATTCCTATGAAAGGCCAGATTGACTGTTTCTGTAGAGACTAGAGGAATCCCTGAGACTATCAACTGAAGCTTGAAACTAAAATCACATTTCATCCAAATAACAGATTGAATTATTAAATAAACAATATCAATCATGTATACTGTGCTCCCTAACTAATCAATTATATGAGGCAAAATGGCAACATTTAACCTAAAACAAAAATTCGAGGCTTAGGAGAAGCAGGGAGACTAGATTAGTGGGAACCAAACAAAACGTGAAGAAACAATGAGACTTATGGCACATGGAGAAATGGTTAAATGGGAACCTGCTTGGCTATGTAAACTTTTACCTAAAACACAATAGAATGTGTTTTTAAACTGTCTTCTCAACAACTATTGGAATTCTAAGCTCATTACAGCTCATCCACGTGGGACAAGCTCACGGACGGGGTTTTAGAAGCTCAGTGAGTCGTGCATTCATCTCTCACTCCATTTTGACAACCAGCAGGCTCACAAGTTGTTGAGAATGACAGGTAGATTATGTGATTTCAAAGTCCTGACTGATCTACAATATTCCCCCACCAATCCTGGGGCCGGGGACTCCCACTGTACACACTTCCCACTGTTAGCATTTTGCATAATTTCTCTAAAATCCACAGAAGGAGCTGTTAGAAGAAACCTGGCCACACAACATCACAAATTCTGAGATTAGCTGCAGCTAATCCTGACCCTCCTAGGTAATTTTACAAACTGATGTTGGATCAATAGGATCACTCAAAAAGGAGCCTGACCTTTGGGTTGGGGAGGACCTCCACGAGGCTGTTTCTATCGACAACTAGCAAGGTCTTTCCCGAAGTGGGGCCCAGCCTGTAACAAGGCTAGCCTTCCCCCTCGCCTTACTGAATACACTTGTATAGGTTCTCTTCTTATGAAATTCTCTAACTTCCAATTTATGGAAGCCCCTATTGATGCACTGAGAGTTCTTTTCGCTTCCCTCCAGTCTGAGGGCATGCAATTCCAATTTACTTCAGCTAATACCAACCTAGCTCTGCCAATGGTTTTCAGTGTCTAATGTGCTGTTCCATTTGATGGCCCTTCATGGTAACTTTCTTAGCATCAGACCCCTCAGGAGAGCCCCTCGGATGTGTGTGTGGGAGAACAGTTGCACAACCCATGGGCTCGGGCTTCAACGAAAGGAGCTGGAGCGATGGTGTGGTTTCCTTTTGTCGTGGTTGGCTTTTGTTTTGTGTGATGAACAGGGAAGCTGTCTGAGAATGTAGCACTCCTCTGGTGGCCCAGCGATGATCGCTTTGAGCTACTAACAGAAAGGTTAGCAGTCGGAACCACCGGTGGCCCAGAAGGCTGACGCGGCTGTCTTGCTGGAGAGTTCAGAGCCCTGGGAACCCTCTGCCCCTCGGAGTTGGAATCAACTCAGCGACAAGGGCAGTTGAGGATTTAGGCCCGTAGGGTCCCTTTCCTTGCTTTTGTGTTCCCATCCTTGTTAACCCAAACTTTTATGTGGCTCAGAATGGTTGGGGGTAGTCGGTGAAGTCTCAGAATAGGTCCAGCTGTAACCTATTTATTAGCGTAACACAGCTTTGCGGAGTGTCTACTCGGTGTCAACTCTTCCAGGAATAAAGGGGAAACAAAAGCAAAAATTGTCCCTGAGAAGCTTATACACTCGCTAGTGGGTCGTCAAACAACAGAGAGGATACGCTATCATCTATCTATCTATCTATCTATCTATCTATCTATCTATCTATCTATCTATCTATCTACCTACCTACCTACCTATCTATCTATCTATCTATCATCTATCTACAGTATGTTAGTAATACACGCGAGAGGGAAAGACAGTAGTCAAGGAGACGGTCATGCGTGGTAGTGGTAGTGCACAGAGTGGCAAATTTAAATAAGGTAGCCAGGGAAGGCCTCTCTGAGGCCTGAGATTAATCAAAACCAGAAGGAGAGAGGGCCGGAAATCTAAGGGAAGATCTTGTGGTCCAGAGGCAGAGTCAGAGATGATGTGTTGCCACACAGCCCCATGGTAGAGATGGCACGAAGTAAGCTAGTGAGGGTGGCTGCAGATCGCGGAGCGAGGTGAGGAGTAGTCATTGTGAGCACTTGATCTTTCTCAATCTGGTGGAGAATATTCTGGTATTCAATACGTGCTGAGGGTCTTTCCTGACTTAGATAAAGCAGAAAAAGGAAGAAAAGAAGGGAAGGAGGGAGGAAAGAAGGAGAGGGAGGAGGAGGGAGGTAAGGACAGAGAAAGCAGAAGGGGGGAGGAGAATGAAAGAGGACCTGCCTGTGGCAGCAATGCCAAGCTTAAGACCACACAGAGCGAAAATAAGAAACGTTTCACAGGGGAGACCCGGCCGGGGTAGATGGTGGCCCATTCTGCAACGGAGTGAAGGTGAGCCACAAACCCCTAACCATGCTGATGGCTCCTCATAAAGGAGTGAAAAATTGGTTCTCACCCATTCCAATTAGACCGTCCTTTTCCCTCACTTTTAATTTTGTAAATCAATTAGAATCTAATTATCACCCTGCAAACTTAAAGTGTTAATACATCTTACCTTCAATGGAGTTAAAGTCCAATTAGCGTGCTTTTCATACACATGAATCTTATGAGCCAGCAATTCAGCTATATAGACATACCTTCAAAGACGAAAGCACTACATCAAAGCACTGGAAGCAATGCAGTTCAAAGGGAGACGATGGGGGAATTGTAATAACTCTTCCTACGCAAGAGCTTCACTTGTGCACTGGGAAATGAGCGCTATCTCAAAACACAGTAAAGTCCAAAACAACTCACTGCGTTCCCAGTGCACAAAGGGGTCTCTAATCTCTGAAAAATTATTTCTAAAAATGGGAGATTAGCTGTCCCTTCTCAGAAGGGAAGAAAATCAGCTTTATTAACACCTGCCCTCCATTTGTATCGGGAACAAAGTGCATATCATTGGTTGTCTTTGTTTATCAATATGGTGGTAAGATCTAGCTTCTTCATCACAGAGGCCAGGGCTTCTCACAAGGGAAGAGGCAGGAGGGTCCTCTGAGCAGCCCCTCAGTCAGGGCCGAGGAGCTGTCAGAGAAGACAAGACGTTTGTCCTGGATCTAAGTGAACGCGCCCTCCCCTGAGTCTGCGCTGACCCCGTGATTTACTGTTCTGGGCAGAGTGCAACCCCATACCTCTCACGAATACTTAGTCTAAGCACACTGCATCCCAGAACAAAAAGGGTGCTTGGTTATCTGCTCTTTTTGAAGAACAGGAGATGAAAGGAATAATTGAAAGCTTCCCATGTTGTTTATAATAAATACATAGGACTAGCCCTCTGAAATCCTCAATCCTACAAGGTAAGGAAAGTATAGGTGGGTGGATAGAATTCATTTCAATGTACATGTAAAGTGTATGCCTGCAGGTATGCATCAGGGCTAACTGAAGTACACCCCACAGACCAATGTTCTGTGACGGTTTATTTGCAGGGCTACATGGGATAGTAACTCACATCAGCTATACCCTCCACCCCCAGCCTGGGTAAGCTGGCTTCTCCCTCTTCACCCTCCACAGCAGGGCTTTCTTGGTGAAGGAAGCGGGCAGTACCTTGATTTACGTTTTGACATAGGTTCTCTTGTCACAAACCAGCAATGCTGATAGAGGGCCACATTTTATTAAACACATTATGCACTCCGAAATCTTGCTCAAAGCAAAGCTATTTAATAGTACTAAATGTCTCTCACAGTGTCCCCTCTTGAAAGAGACCTTTTCTTTCCCAGCAAGGAAATAAAGACAGCATGACTTTCTAAACTGGAAATATGGTGAGGTATTTTACATTTAGACTAATTTCACACTAATAGAAGACCATGCTAAAATCTACCGTGTTAATTATAAAAGGGATATCTTATAAAGTTTGCTAATGATAATGGGAGGAAATGCACTTTCAATTAAAGAATTCACATACTTGCCATCAGGTGAAATGTTGATCCCATTAGCAAAATCAAATTTGTCTGCAACAACACGGACATCATTCGGGCTGTAGTAAACAACATAGGACCACGCTAACCCCAGATACAGCTCCCAGGATCGTAAATAGGGGTTCACGAAATAGTGGTCATTTGTGGCATAAAACTTCTCTGGTCCCACAGCGATGAGGTCATTCAAACTGCAGTGGAAATACACACACACAGGTGAAGGTATCGTATGGATTGGCATTCATGAATGCCTTGCCTAAGACCAAGAGGTGAGATGGGGCCTTCACACTAGCTTCTGTGGCAAAGAATTAGTAAGAGATTAGTGCTACCTCACTCATCCTCAAAGATACTAATCACAAAGACATCCTAAGAGGTGACATAAAAATTCTGGTAGGTATATCTTAAAAATGCTGTTAATAGTGCATGCGTATGGTGCGTGTGTGCTCCCGCGTGCGCGTGCTCAGATGTACCGAATTCGGTAAAGGCCAGGAATCATCAGGAGAAAACTATCGGTGCTCCTATAGCGCCTGCTCCTGTCAGTGCAGGGCATCATGCAAGCAAACAATAGCAACCAAAATGCAGGCATTATGGCCAGTACTCAGAGAACTTGCGTTTTAGGCAAAACTCCCCACTACTAGCTGTGAGACCGAGGGGAAATTGTTGCCTGTGCCTGTATCTCGGTTTCCTTTTTGGTAAAAGGACGACGGTGAACGGGTCTTTCAGCCTGAAAGGGTCACTTCCGGCTGGAAAGTTTCATTATTTGAAACCGAATAAAATGTCCACGAACACGGATGCTCAGAAATAGGATGCTCCGGCTTATTTTCTGATTCTGATTCTGCCCCTGTTACTGAGAACGTAAGATAGATGAGTCTATTTTTCTGCTTTAATAGCTACAATGCTGAGCACATAAGTGAGTCATCCCTTGCTGATTGAGGTGATGGAAGTTCCCGAGGCCATTATCTGGGAGAGAATTATCTCTGCTTCATTGCAGAGAGCATAATGGTCCAAACACCAGCTCTGACGCAGCTCTGGGCTCGGGGCGAGTTTATAGAAGCTCACGGAGCCTCAGTTTTCTCATCTGGAAAGGGAGGTTAAATGATTTTCCCAAGGTCATGCAGCTCATTAATAGAAGATGACAGGCCAGAATCTTTAATTTGTGAAATTGCAGTGGGATTGGGAATAAGACAATGCCTGTTGTGTGTTTCCCAGGGAGTCTGACACCCACTCAATCCTCACGATTACTGTGGGAAAAGGTTCAGGAAATTAGGACCGCCGTGTAGCCAGGTGCAGGTGTAGACCAACCAGCACGTGGGTTTCTTTCTCGCTCTTGCAGCAATCCGTTTCTGGAATTAGCTTGCTCTGCTAGCATGTGCCTGTTGTGTTTTGTTTTCTCATTAAAAAAGAGGACTGTTGGATGATGAAGAGTCACAGCTTTGAAATCGGACGGACAGCCATTTGAATCCCCGTGCTGTTTGATCCTGGCGGGGGCCAGGGCACACCCCTCAACTCTGCTGCGCTTCCCTAGCCTGCGTCTTCTCTGTCCCTTGCAAGGTTAGGGTGGGAAGGAAATAAAATATTGGCTTTAAAACCATGTCTGGCTGACCTAGAGGAACTGATCAGTGATGATCACGCCTTTATTTTTAATAACAACATGCTTACCTAGTAATAGATTTAGGAATAGGAATATGGATGCTATTTTTTAATGGAGAATCCTTGAGTTGAGAGAGTGGAATTCTGGTTTTAATGCTGAACTACAATAGCTATTGTCAGCCTTGTTCTATGCTGCTCAAAATGAATCTTTTTGCAACTGCCCCCCCTGCCCGCCAAAGCACATTACCCCCACCCCAAAAGATGTAGAGAATTAAATAGCAAAACAAGTAAAATAGGGTCTCACTACATATATCACAATATTTCAGAGCACCAGCGCTGGGACGCTAGTATTAAAATTTCAGCTCTACCATTTACTGATTGTGTCACCTGGGGCAAATTAGCAACTATTTCAAGGCTTCATTTAAAAAAAAATGTAATGGGTAGAATAATAAAACCTAATAGATAGGTATGAGAAAAAGTCATGGGGAGTATGTTAAAATTGTGTAGCAGCTGACCTAGGCTGACAGCTCGCTGCGTTCACCTATCATCATTATGATTCCAGCATCTTTATTCTATGTAGCGTTTCCTGATTTAGAGCTGGGTGGTGTCGGCATATTCTCCAGACTCCCAGGGGCACCATCCCCTCTTCAAAATATATTTGTTAAAGGAGTCTGTGAATAAACCCTCCCACCAAAAGCTCCTCTTGGAATTGTCCACATCCCAGACTAAGACTTGGCAGCACATTTTATTCAGCCACTAGGGAGTTGGTTGGCTTTCATCCAGTAACTTGATTTCTCTGGATCTGTTTCCTGGCCTTGAAACTCATCAAATGATAGGGACAGGAAGGGCTTCTGGCAAGCCTGAGCACACAGTCCAGGTGTTCTGCTAGATACCAGGATGGAAATACTAAAGGGTTTAACACAGATCTAAACTTACTGAGCTGGTCTGAAGTCATGCATAATGACACACAGAGTCTGAGATCCTAGACAAAATCATGACTAGGGCTAAAACACTGTTTTGGAAGATAGTGTCAGGTTCTTATCCCAAATTTATCAGTAGTCCCATAAACCAAACACCTGTAGGCAAGAGAAAACAAAAATTGATTTTGTGTACATTGATCAGGATAGAGGCTCTTGGGCACTTTCTGTCCTCTAGTCTCCTATATACAAAGGTAAATAAAAAGTATTGCTACTAGTTCCAATTTAGGTCCACATGAGTTTATGTAGTTTTTAATAGTTTAAACACGTCTCTGTGGTCAGTGTATGGCTGCAGACGATTCCGCTCAACAATACCCTTGTCTTAATCTTATTCCGGTGCCTCTACAAAAAGATCTAAAGGATACGGGCCTCCAAGGGATCTGCCGGACCAGTCAAGTCAAGGCAGGGAGAACAACTCAGAGAGTTCGGGCTACTGCATTTTGAAGTGCCAAAGGGTCATCTTGATCGATTTTTCTCAAAGTACCTGATCATAGGGGCCTATTATGAAGAACTTTTCTGTAAATCTAAGACTGCATTGGTAAGGAAAAGGGCATAAGTGTTGTGCTGTGGAATTTTTATCTATCACAAGAAAGGATTTGCTTATTCTTTGAGAGTAGCCCGGGCTATCCTATGAGAATTTTTCTGGGAAACCCTACCTATTTACCTGCCAGCCTGGTTCCTGCCCTTTCATATTTCCTCTTGTTCACCAAACTCCAAGAACATTAAAATCCCAACAACAACAAAAAATCACTTGGGGATACCAAAATAATTATGTACATGCTGTTGTTCACATAGTGTTAGTAGAAGAACACCGAGTTCTTAGAGGAAGGGTTAGCGAGACAAACACAGCTGTCAGAGGTGCATAGATCTCCATGGAGGATGTGTTGTGAAACAATAAGTTCACATCTTGATATTTCTGTTTAGTAAAGGTTTCTATAACTTTATAGCAATGCTTTTTGACTTACACTAGCATTATGTTGTCAAAGAACTTAGATTCAAGGTGAAATCTTAGATGCACCAGATTTTATCTTAGGTGTGTGGTTCTAATTCACAGAATTATCTGAAATGATATCTTTTAAAATACTAAATGAGTTAATAAAGCGCAAGATGTGAAATTTGGGTGTGAATTATTAGGTCTAGCTTGTGAGAAGAGCAGATTTTTTTCTTGGAACCAGGTCAAACGGAGACTCTCACATCAGAGACGGGAGAGGGGCTCTGCGGAGCGGAGTCCTCAAAAGGGCCTGAGAAGGACATTTGCAGAGGCTTTCAATAAGCACACAGGAGAGTGGAACCGCCACAGCCAGTCTGGCCGAAAGGGAAAACTGAAAATGGATTAGTCATCCCCTGGTGTTAAAGAACAATAGCGATATGATACATCCCAGAACATTACTTAGGCATAAGGTCATGTCTGATGGTTTTCAGATGCAAAAGTGATTTTTCTTCTTCTTGAAATTTAAACACCTCCACTGTGGACTTAGATTCTGGATGGTTCACCACCAGCAGGTACACAGTATTATCTGAAATGAGATTAAAAACAACAGTTGACACGTTAACTGAGCTCTCAGCTGTCAGCTCTGTCAGCTCCAAAAAGCAATTTCAACCCACCTCCAACTAGTACTTAGGATGTCAGGCAGGTGGAATATATTCATCTCTTTGTAGAGAGAAGCATTTGTGATTTTTCCTGAGAAAAGAGGCACGAGGAAGATCCTGTGTCAGTCTCTGAAAACCCAAAGCCCCGCAGGGAGAGACGCTTCAACTCTAAGATGATCAGCACTGACACTAATACGCACTTCAGCCTGGTCTCAGGGAGCGGCAGAGCTGAAATAAAAGGGAGAGCTGATGAGGGAAGTAGCGATACAGGCGGAGGGAGTAGACGGACGCGCAGTGAACGATGATAAATGCCTCCGCCGAGCACCCGAGCCACAGAGGCACGGGGCCGCAGCTTCCAGGAGCCAATCTGACTTTCAGATAGGAAGGAGAGCCAGCTCAATGGTTGCAAAGGTTTGACGGTGAGAGGATGCTCAGTGCCTTCAGAAAGAGTGCATCTCCGGCAGCCTTTGACAAGACTGCATGGATGTCTCGAGGGAAACAAAGCAAAGAGGTTAACAGAAGCGACAAGACAGAGAGGCCAGCAAGGAGGCTGTTCATTAGTTCACGCATCAACCCAGCGTTTTCTATATTTTAGTTGGTGTTATTGCAGATGCAACAGGTTGACCTTTATTGACAGTGATAGGTTATCTTCTCCAGGGAAGTCAGAAACATTATCTGGCCTTAGGAGCTCTAGACTGAAGGAAGGAAGCAAGCGGGCGCAGAGGTGGGGGTGGGGGTGGGGGTAGCCAAACCAGAGTGGACACATGCCAGAGGAAGGAGTTTTCTTAGCACGTTCCCTTAGTAGCATGAGGTGGGCGAGATTGGAGTGGATAAGCATTTAAAAAGAAAGGGAGGGATCAAGCCATAGAGGTTTTGTCTTGTCCAGGGTTCAGAGTAAAAATCCAGAGTCTACACTACACCAAGTTTTGAGCCAAGGGGTAACATGACCTGGGATGATAGCAATAATCAGGTGTATGGAGATATGGAACTGGACTGGAAGGTTGCACTGACCGGACAAGGCAGGAAAGGCAAAGGCTGGTATTTGAAATAAAAATCCAGAGACCCTGGTAATGACTGAGTAGTGAGAGAGTCAAAACTCAAATATAAGTGAGAATTAAACCATGGATGACTATTTTGCTCAGCAGAGTCGATTCTAGGAATTAAAATATTCTATTCTAGGAATTCCTTAATCCTAAGGAAATGCAAACGAGATATGCATAAGAATATTTATTTTGCCATTGCTTCCAATAGCATAAAGTAGGGGGAAATCAGTATTTCCATCAGAACATGAACTATATTATGGTACGCCCACACAACTGAATCCTGCTCTGCCTTTGCAAAGTCTCTCTACAAAGGAATGGACTGTCAGCGGCGACGTCATGATGGAGTGTTTAACGCAAAAGCCATTAGAAAAGGGCTGTGTACTAGGACCCCATTGTTATTTTCAGAAAGGTGTGTACATACTTAACAAATATTTCCAAAATAGTCGAGTTGATAAATGGGTGGAACAACCATGGACAAAGAACACACACACATATTAGGAGAAATTCCCAGGTTTTTCTACTGCTAAAGAAAATCTCCCAGCCTTCCTTAGCGCACCGCCTTCCTCTAAAACCTCTCATCTTCGGTGTGGCAGCATTCCTGTACACTTGTTACAAAGCTTCAATGATATGGAAAGATGTCAACTTAAGCTTGGATAAATAATTGATATCAGCCCAGATCTCAAAATTATTTTTTTCCCATGGCAAAACTATGATCCTCGGTTTTGAAGGCACCCTAATATAGGACTGAGGCAAGCATATTGCTAAGGTAACTAACTTGTCTGTATCTGTCCCCTAGTTGCAGACTGTGTTTTATTTAAAACAATCCGTACATGTCCGAACTGGAGCCCTGGTAGGAATCCTCTTAAAGACCCCTTCCCCACTCATGTGTGCGTGTATGCACAGAGGGGAGGGGGGAGAGAGAGAGAGTTTTAAATATATATATTTTAATGTTTTTAGTTTAAAGGGACTAAAGGAGAGCTCCCTAAACAAAAGTATCTGCCAAGGAATAAAACTGAAGAGGTGAATTTTAATAAGTAGATAAACACACATTGGAAGGTATTCAGAAATAAGCACCGTTGCTGTTGTAAAATGGTGGAAATTTCTGAAATAAAGAAAATGAGAATGGAAGATTAATTTGGGGGGCATGTTCAGAGAATTGAAGATGAACGGTCAACCGATGAGGCAGGCAGGAACAACAGGAGTGCCCGGAGAAGAAAGGTACTCGCAGGAGTATGCTCCCCAGCATCCATCGAGGCAGGGAGGGAAGAACGGAGGGAAGGTTGGAAAGAAGGAGGCAATGAAAAGGTAACGCAGACAGAGAGCTGACGAAGGGAAGAGAGGCTAATTAACGAGGACACCACGTGGCTTGCTTTCAAGGCGTAATTTTAGCCCCCCACAGTGGGGCAGTCTGAACAAAGCAACGAAGGAGGGAACGCTGACGACCTGGAGGGCACGGTATACCTACGTGGGGCTTTCAGCCTTGGCCTTACATGTTCGTCATCTAGGGCAGCAGTTTTATCCAACTGAACAGAGGAATTGAATCAAAATCTTTGGGCTTTAGTAAATGCCCATATGATTCTGTGTGCAGCTGAGGTTGAGAATTGCTGGCCAGATTACGGAAGCCAATCAAGGGTGACATGGGAAAAAGTCCGAGGGGCCGGGCATCGAGTAGTGTTGATCGGCTTCGGAGTGGGAAGGCTTCATTTGAAGACACAACAGATAAACTAATCAATAGGGAGGCACCGAAGATGAGAGTCTGGGAGAAGCTGACAACAGTGTCTTTATAGCCTGGGATGTATAGCTTGCAGATGCCTTAGCTTGGGGGTAGGGTGGGGTGAGGGAATTCAATTTTTGTATATACCTGGATTTTTAAAACTGTTTCAGATGGAAATTCCATAAATATTAAGGCTAAATGTGATTACTCTAGTAATTATAGAACTGATGCAAATGATGGTATTAAAAAAAATTAGGTGCTTCAACATTCTTAAACATTTTTGCAATTACCAAGGTTTTAGCTGGTTATGTATGGTATATTTGATTAACATGGGGGGAGTTTGAAATCCAGAGTAAGCATTATTCATGACTGTACTTTGGTTGGATGGGAAGAAACATCCATTCATTAGAATTTTAAATGTTGGTTTTATTTATAATAAACATCACATAAACTTTTACCTTCCTCTGTGAATGTGCTGATCCCATGAGGGTTAAATGAAGAAACATCGAAGTTACTGCCAATGATCTTCAATTCCAAAACTGCTGGGTTTGTCTCATTCAGGGTCATCAGTAGGATTTTTCCAGGCTTGTTGGGTTCAAAGCTCTTTATTCCAGGATATTTCAACCCCTTATGGAAAATGGGAAGAGAACAATCAGCATATAAGGCTACCAGAGCTGCTGATGGCACATGAGTTCACCTTGTCTGCTCCTAGCCACGGGGCGCACAGGAAACCCGTGGGCCGCCTTGCTGGGTGGGTCCATGGGAGACCCTGAAGAAACATGCTTCTGAAGGAAACACACCCTGAACAACACACAGGCATCGACCTTCCCAATCGTCCCAGCAAAACCGCGTGCCTGCTAACCCACAGTGATGCTGAAGTAGAATGGCTTGGTGATTGACTTCCATGAAGATTCCAGTCAGGCAAAATCCCTGAAACAGTTCTAGTCGGCAGTACCTAAGTCAGAACCATGGAACAGCAAGCGACCGTCTTACAGACCGTTGTAGACACCGTGAGGACAAGAACACTCACAGTACTCAGGAAAGCCAGCCCGTTAGGAAGAATCTCCAAGTCTTCAGCACCGCTGTCTGCCAGGAAAGAGAAGAAGCAGAGTAGAGGAGTCAGACGATGGCAGAACGCATCGAGGGTTCATTTCGTCCTCACTCCTAACCTGGAAAGGGGTGAGGACTTAGCTCTTCTTTGAGAAGAATTGATGCTTTTGATTTTTACTGAAAAGAGATTAATGTGATTCTATCCAAAGTAAAAGGTATGAGTATAGTAAAGGAGTATAATCACGTTTATATTTCATAGCTTGTTTTAATTTTCTAGATTAGAACTTTCTCTTCAGAGTTTGAAACCTGGCATAAACTTCAGAGAAATCCACGAAAGTATGGTTATTTGAAAAGAGTTTATGGGACTGGAAAAGATACAAAGTAAACTACAAATACATATGTTCTATTTAATAATTCCAAGTTACAGGAGCTCAGTGCTTAAGCACTTGGTTGCTAACTTAGAGACTGCTGTTTGAGTCTACTGACACAATTTGGTTGGCAACGCCAAAGGCATTGAGCAGGTCTACTGGCACCAGTTTTCTAACGATGTGTACTCTCACGTTGTGCCTTTGTCCCATTTTGGTAATGCAATATTTCAAATTTTCTCAGAATGCTATAGCACAATTAATAGACTACAATATAGTATAAACATAACTTTTATATACACTAGGAAACCAAAAATTTTGTGCTGGGGCAGGGGCTAGGGGTGGTGGTGTGGGGGGTGTGGAGATATGATAGTCTATTTCCATAAGCATTTATAACCTGGAAAACCGGATGAGGTCATTCACCTCTGCCCTATAGAGTAACTGTGAGTCAGAATCAACTCCACATAGGTGGGTTTAGGGTTTTGTTCCAAATCAACAATTATATTGGAAATGCCAGCAGTATCATATTCTTGAGTTAAAATAGTGTCATGTTAAGAATATGAATATCATGATCATTCCATTCATTATAATTTAAGTAGTAAATTTTTACAATTTCAAATAATCTAGACACAAATGATACGTGCACTGGAGATTTTTATAGAATATCCAATGACAGTATACAGTATGCTATTTATATCTAGAAAAAAATTATACCATAAAGTGTCTGGCTAAGTCCAGTAACTGAGCATATCTTCTATTTGAACCTTTGTAGCTCCCTCAACCTTTTCAAATTGAAATGAATAATATTAAAATGATAAATAACAAAAAAACCCACTATTTCAAACAACAAATAACAAAGTCAGTTAGTTGAAATCCAGTGGAGATTCGAGTCCTGGGACAGATCTGTTGGAGTTTCTCCACTTGCACTTTTCTCCTGGCAAACACAGCCGGCCCCCCACAGTGGAGGCCCGACACACCTGATCTTACTGTTCTACACTGTCTCACCCTTTGCAGGTAGTGCAGTTTTTTAACCAAAATGTTGTCGATAGGTTGTTATGATTCACATAGTCTTCACATAGCCTTAGCATAGTTAATAAAATCAGCATTGAAAATGATGGTGGCAACATCCGTACAAATATGCTTGATACAATTGATGTATGGATTGTTATAAGAGCTGTAAGAGCCTCCAATAAAATGATTTATTTAAAAAAAACCTGTTAAATATGTAAATAGCCTTTACTCATATGTAAATAGCCTCATCTTTCCTTCCTTTCATATCCTCAGGTTATGGTGCCATAAATATTATTCTGAATATTGTGTTTGCAAAACTGACTAGGTAAAAAGACAAACAAATGAACGGAGTTTTCAACACATTTGAAAACTGTTGGTGAAGTAGCAATCAAGTGTCTTCGTTGTGATACTTCTCTGGGTTGTAGGGTCCTTGGACTGTCGGTGCAAATGGCTAACTTGCTTGCTGTTCACCCAAAAGGTCAGAGTGCAAGTCCACCCAGAGGGGCCTAACTGGTGAAAAGCCTGCGGAGCACAGTTCCACCCTGATAAACCTCGAATCACTATGAAACAGAGCCCACTCGAGTGGAAACTGGCTAATGAATTAATAATGCTCTCCTGGCTCAAAATTTTATTTTTTTTAACAAAATGAAGCAGAAATTTTGATCAGTAAGTGACAGGTTATGCATACAAACTCAAATGAAACACTCTTCTCATATACATACCTATCCCTTTAATTAAATTGCAATTAGGAAGTTCCACCTGTGTCACCTCTCGCCCAGCATTAAGTCGAGACCTGTGGGTCAAAAAGAATAGAATTCATACAAAATTGTGCAGAACCTATACTTAGGCTGGAAGGATAGGCAGCTTATATGTATAAGTTCTCGCCCATGTTCCAACCCCAGGGGTAGTGGTTCCTGAAATGTGGACAATTAATTCTATCCAACAAGTCAGAACAAGACACAGGGGATCTTCTAGACATAGCATTTTATTTGGGGCGGGAGGGGGGCGGGGAGAGGATGAGGCGTGGATACACAAAAGAGATTACATAATGTTTTCTCCTTAGTATAATTTGGCAGGAGTAAAACAATGTCAACATTTGTATAAGGAGCCCTAGGTGGAAAACAGGACTTCAAATCAGTTCATCCCGTTTAGACTCCTGCATTTCCACCCCAGCTACACTGAATCAGAATTTACATTTTAGGAAGATCCTGGATTGTTCCTATAGATTCTTTTATATGCACAAGAATAGCCAGAGATGTTATTGAACTGTAGATTCTAATTCACTACAAACTCAAACTCGCTGACACTGGCTTGGTTCTGACTCCTGGTGGCCCTAGAGGACAGGGTAGAGCTGTCCCGGCATTTCTGAGACTGTCACTCTTTTCAGGAGTAGAAAGCTTCATCTTTCTCCCGTGGAACAGCTGGCTGTTTTGAGCTGCTGACCTGTGGTTAGCAGCCCCATGTGTGCCCGTGCCATCCTAACTGCGTGGAAATTCAAATTCTTAGTAGGATTCCAATTGGCATGGCCCTGTTGGGAGCCTTGATCAAAATTTGGGTTAAATAGCAAAGTGGTTCCGATTTATTTGACAAACGGGCCTCTTGCCCATCTGGCCAATCTGTTTCAAAGCCTGGACTTGGGTGTAGTTTAAATCATACAGGTGTGCTCAATGGTTTTACATCTTCCGACCCTCATGTCCAAGGCCTTTCAGATACACACACTGCAACTCATGAAATCTGAGCATGGAAACATCCTAGCAAACACATGAATGAAGGAGGAAGGTACAAAGAGTCAATGGGCGAAGTACCCAGTCGGTCACCTGACCAGAGCAAAGTTGCCGATGAAGTGAGCACCATCCAGAGATTTTCACAACAAATACCAACTGAGAAATAATACGGATCCTTAGTCGCGCAGTGGTGAAAGTGTGCAGGTGCTAACCCAAATTTTACTCTGCAGGAGAAACATGTGGTAGCTCACCAGAAACGATTACAGCCTGGGAAGCCCCACAGGAGAGTTCTACTCCGTCCTCCAGGCTTGCTCTGAATGCACGTTGACTCTGTAGCTGTGGGTTTGTTTGGTTTGGGGAAGGATATGATAGTTACAGTGAGCAGTGGCACTGTGGCAGAAGCCCTATAATTGTTCATTGGTTTAAAATAGGAATATTAAGTCATAACTTGCCTTACTGATCATTTATCCTCACAGGAGGAGGATGGGCTAGAAGTGAGCCGATCCTCTGGATAATATTCTTACATGCAAAATGTAAAGTGATAGGAGTTGAGAGACCATCTGATGTTTGTTTATTCAGAAAAAAATGTAGTGTGTTCCCAGGGTGTAAGGTGATGCCACGGCTATCACTTCTCCCCCTGAAGAGCATCCAACTCAAGGTATCAGGTGTAAGGTTCCGTGGTCCACATTGTGAAGGCACCCGAGACATCGGCAGGAGAGGAAGCCACCGGTGTAAAGAGACGGAGACAGGAAGGAAGCCTGATCTGTAAGGGCCAGAGTTTGCTGAAGTTATTGCTGTTGTCAGGTGCTGTTAGGCAGGCTTGGCTAGAGACACCAATCCAGGGGCACTCATATGTGTATAAGAAAGAGCTTTATATCGAGGAGGAATTCTCCTATCAAGAAAGCGTCCCAGCTCAGTCCAACTCAAGTCCCTAAGTCCCACCCTGGTCTGTAAGTCCCTCTTCAGCCTCACAGCCGCATGCAGGGATGCAGGATGCAGGTGGATCACAAGCGGAAGGATGCAGATTCATGTGGATCCAAGGCTGGTGGGCACATGGCAGGGCGCCTGCAGCTCTCAGGGTCTCCAGCAAGCCGCAAGGTGAAGGGGAGAGAGGGGTCTCCTTGTGAGAAGACCATCCCCCACAAAGGAAGCACCATCACGTTTTGACCTGGTGGACAGATCTGACTCCAGCCCAAGCCAGGAGCGTCTGCTTGACTCAGAGGTAACTACCACAAGAGCCACTGAGGCAGGTCCCACTCACGTACAACAGAACAAAGCACGACGTGATTCACTCTTTGCCATCCTCACAATTGTGACAGCCAAGCCCATCGCAACAGCGGCTCTGCTGATTCATCTTGTTCGGGGCCCTCTTTTTCTTGGCACCTCCACCGAGCATGGGCTCCTTCTCTCGGGACTGGCTCTCCTGACACCATGTCCAAAGTGGGTGAGAGAAGTCTTGCCATCCCTGCCTCGAAGGGCCATGCAGATTTTGAAGAAAACGGGTTCTTTAAACCCCATGTTAGGAAAGAATTTTTTTTAGGATAGGGGTGGAACAGCTACAGTTGTACACAAACACATGTAAAAGATGCCTATTAGCAAACCAGAAAAGTTGACCCTCGCCTCTCCCCGGCAGACCCGTTACCCTTGGGAGACTGGTTTGGGGCAACTGGGAGCACATGAGCTGAACTAATCCAGGTGCAGATGGACAGAGGGATTTGAGGTTGAGAAAGGCTAGATCAGGTGTTGGATGATTACAATATCTCATTTCCTTTTGTCCCAGGCTAATGCCAACTGCGTATATGCTAGGAACGCCCTCAACATGCCGTCCTTTGGCAGCAAATGACTAATGAAAATGAATTTTTACATGATTTTAAATCCAAAGTCATCAACAGGTCCTTATTTGACACTTCTTTAATATTTTGATTTCAAAAATAATCAACAAGTGTGGGTGGGGATGGGTGGGTGGAGAGAAGAAATAATCATTTCTAAAAACCTCTTCTGAATATATGTTTTCAATCAGTCCATTGGGTTATATAATTGAATTTTTTAATGTTCAATTTAATTTTTTTCTGAAAGGATTCTTATTTTTATTTAAACATATGTGCACATCCTCCACAAAGGTACACATTGGGTATTAAACTACTGTTAGTTTAGAGGTGGGATGTGCACGTTTTCTGGTCAGGAATGTAACAAGAAGCACCATAGCCAGGGTGGGAGCTGGGCAGAGGCTTACTCCAGAGACAGCCCCGGAGAGCCACCTGCTCAGGGAAAGGTATTGGGGCCGGGGACACCAGGTGTTTCAGGAGAGGGTCCAGGGGGGGTCCAGTTATATTCCTTTGGACGCTTCAATAGGTAACCTCAATGAAGAGCAGCAGAAGAGAGGGACAGTTTTCTGAGGGGTGTCCTGTCACCACTCACCTCACCCAGTCTGCTGGGCTGCTGCTGGGGGTCTTGTAAACTGGAGGTGGGGCCTGGTGCCACAGGAAGCTGGCATGGAAGATGATTTGTGCAAGAAAGTCACTACCAAACCACTGCTCAAGTGTCACCCTCGGCCTTCTTCTTCTTCTCGATGTCGTCCGGAAACAGTTCTTTACAAACCAGGCAATCCGTGAACATGAGCAGCACGTCGAATAGGTCACCAGCCATTTCCTCTTTGTCGGTGCTGTAAGGTGGGGGTGAAAGCTGCCAGGTTGAACGCGGGAATCTGCCCCAGCAGGTGCTCCGTGATAGCTTCTCACCAGAGAAACGTATTCCTTAAAAATAGGTGGCAGGTAAGCCTGTTCTCTTTTGTGTCTTCAAACTCCTGGCAGCACTTGCCCGTGACATTTCTCTGTAATAAGTGGGACTCGTCACCCATGATAATGTCCTCCCAATAACCAATCACAGCATCAAATTCCACATCAGAGGCGGAGTCGTTGAAGCTCTCCTGAGCTAAGGAGTCCAACGACCCCCTGTTGCTTCCTGCCCCCTCCTGCCCCAGGACTGTGCCAACTACATGGAAGGCAAGACAGGCCCAGCTGTAAGGCACACACAGGTTTCACCACGGGGTCTCCATGACGCCATTTAACTTTTTATTAATGGTTTACTTCAAAGTAAATAAGAAGATATCATTGGCTAGACCTTAGAGAATAAATTGATCTCTACACTTTGACCTCTGTAAAAAGTTTTAACAAAACAACAAATATATTCTGAAAATGTCCCATTTACTTTTCTTGCATAGCACCAATTTATAGAGCATTTTAAGAGGAGTAGGGAATTAAACATTAATCGAATAGTTATGTTCCAAGCACTGTTTAGTTGCTTTATCAATGTGTGTATATTACTGTTTCCTGTTGTTGACTTAAGGGTGTGAGATAGTTAGTTTATTGTGCCAGCCTGGCCGATAAACACAAGTGGGGTTAATTGAAGGGAGGAGAGATAAATGGCTTGGTGAACCTCCCCTTTCTTGTCTCTTGCTCTTTGATCATCGGACCAGTGTGTGGCTGCCTTGCTTGTTCTGTGCTTCAATTTAGAGGCTACACTACCTGTGGGACGCCTAGCCTGTGGACTGTGACACTGTAAGTTGAGGTCCCTTTAAGACCACATGATTGAAATTTACATCTCTGGAGCTGGGTACTGCCAGTTGGTAACCTGGCTGACAGTTGGTGACCTGCCTTGCTATTTGCTGCTGTGCTTATATAGCCTAGCTCTCTCTACAGAAGGAGATCTGGCAGCCCTCAAGACTTGAAGGACTGCTAGTGTCTCATAACTCTCTCACGGGAGTGAGTGGCACTGAGCCATTTGTACTGCTTTATAATTTAACTGTTCATTTCTTGTATTATATATCAATCTATATATGATTTAACAGTTCATTTCTTGTGTTATATATCTATCTTTATAAATAAATATATAAAATTATCAGTAATCTGGTTTTATCTCTCTAGGAAACCCTTTCTAACACATTTTGGTACCAGAAGTGCTTCTAGAGAAATAAAATAATAAATATGGGCTTCTTAAATTGGCTCTCCAGCCTGATTAGTCTTAACACTAGTGATGCTACTTCAAAATCCCAAAGCATGGCTGAGTCTGCTACTCCTATTAATCCATGGTGTGAAGTAGAAAAGATAATACGTAAAGTCACACCACTGACTGATGAGGTGCTGGTTAAAGGAGAGGCTCTGGGTGATCGAATATTTGATATTTTCCAGGAGTTTTGTAAGGATGACAAGTATAGGGAAGCTGGTTGGCTGGTCCTTCTTACAATGGAAAGTGTGATTGAGGAGAGGGATGGTCTCAGAGCCTCAGAAGCATGCCTCAGGTGCAGACTAACAGATTTGAAAGCTTCCACCTGTGCTACAAAGGAGAGCCTTCTCTCCTCTAGTAATAGAGTTGACGTTTCTGAGAACCAGGTCCAGAGTCTCATTATGCTAGTGGCTGAATTACAACAGCAGCTGAATTGCAGATCTAGAGCAGCGTCTGAAGCCAAAGTGAGAGCATTGATTGGGAAGAGTTGGGACCCTGAAACATGGGATGGGAACATATGGGCTGATGATCCAGAAGAGGAGGATTTTGAGCCCTTAGAAACAATTGACCCATCCCAGTTAATAGATCCACCCCTCTGAGCTGAAAGTATTAATTCACAATCCACACCTGAGCAGATTAGCCAAACTATGCAAGTTGATATGCCAGGTGGGGCTGCATCAGTAGCACTGCCTGAGAGAGATGCCTTACAAGATTTTGCTAAGAGCACCCAGGAAACACCCTCACCAGCCATTATTTCCGCTAGACCTGTCACTAAAATTAAGTCTCAGAAAGCTCCTAAAGGTGAGGTTGAGATGATTACCCAAGAAGAAGCGCTATACTCATAAAGATCTGCTCGAGTTTTCAAATACATACAAGCAGAAGCCTGGGGAATATCCCTGGGAATGGTTACTAAGGGTATGGGATACTGGTGCATGAAATATAATATTAGACCAGTCTGAGTTTCTGGATATGGAACCCCTAAGCACAGACTCTTCTTTCAATGTCTCTGTGAGAGAGGTTAAGAGAGGATCTAATTCTTTATTTGGTTGGTTTAATGAAGCATGGACTGCCAGATGGCCTAGATTGGACCAACTTGAGGTGCCTGACCTACCTTGGTACACTGTAGAGGAAGACATCCAAAAGCTTAGAGAAATTGGTATGTTGGAATGGATCTATCAGGATATTCCCATAGACCCCAAAAGGGGGGTGTCCTGAGGACAGACCCTTTACCACAACCATAAGAAACAAGTTTGTGAAGTGGGCCCCAGCATCTCTTAAGACTCCTGTAATTGCTATTTTATGTGCACCAGGATTAACAGTGGGCACTGCCCTAAGCGAACTCCGACATTTGCCCACAATAGGGCTGATTGGTCCCCATGATGGTAGAGGGCAGGTGTCAGCACAGAATCAACAGAGACAGGGTGGGCATGGCTATAATAGACAACAAGGTTTCAGTAGTAATCAAAGCAACCTGTCTCATGTGGAATTATGGCATTGGCTACAGTGTCCCTAGGAATGAAATAGATGGGAAACCTACTAAATAGCTATGTGCTCTATACAGATGGAAGAATGGTAGATCAGGTGAACAGCAGAATAGACAGTCATGATCAGTCAATCAATTCCCAGACCTGAGCCAATTTACAGACCCACAACCCTTGAATGAGGGGGAGACCGGGTCCCTTTGAAGGAGGACCCTGCTGCATCACTGAAGGTCTGTACTGTTAGTCTTTCTTCTAGCCTTCCCCCAAGGGACCTGCGGCCTTTCACAAGAGTGACTGACTGTTCACTGGGGGAAAGGAAGCCCTAGGCAGCGGGAGCAGCCAGCTGGGCCCACGTGATGTCTGTGCCAGGGCAACTGAGAGGCGCCTGCCTGCAAGGGCATAGGAGGTGTGGGCTGCACCTCTGTCTACCACTTCTCAGGGTTGGGGAAGCGTCTGATGCAGCTTCCTCTCCTCCAAGGCAGACACAGGAGCTGGGCCTGGAGGAGGGGCTGGGCAGGCCTTCTGAGAACCTTGCAGGAAATGGGACAGCCGGGTTGGGGACTGTGAAAAGGCACCTCCAGCCCAGGCCAAGCCGGGGAAGGGAAGTGTCCAGGGATGGAGAAGAAGAGGGCTGAGGAAGCACATTTAGGGAGGACCTCTGAGCTGTCAGGTCCGGATGGGTGGTGGTTGGCTCTACAACTTTAAGGGCATTTTGACTCACAGGACCCCAGAGAAAAAGTATGCTGGGGGAGGGGGTGTGTGTTTCAATGACTGATTGCAGGGGGGCGGGGGTGGAGTGGGCAGTGCAGGTAGACAGGCCAATGTTCCAAGGCACCTGGAGGTGGATTTGAGCTATCAACCTCTCCATTCAGCAGCAAGCACTTAATAGCCTGCACCACTCAGGGACTCCTTTATCACACCCCGAAAACCAAAACCAAACTACTGCCATCGAGACAACACCGACTCAAAGTAAAGTTGGTAGTTTCAAACTTCAGACCTTGCAGATCGCAGCCCAATATGTAACCACGACACCACCAGGGCTCCTGGGGTCATTACATCATCTGGTGTCAATTTGAGACTATTAAGAGAGAAGGGGTGAAATTTAGCCTGTCAATCAGGTAGCAGCTTGATGATCTCATTTGGAAGCCAGATACACTCTCTCTGCTTGTCTTCCTGCGAGACATTCCTGTTAACAAGCCACATGGAGCCAGACCCCTGGAGCTGGAGGACCCACGTGAAGACCCCATGCCAGCACTGAGATACTTCCACCACCACTAGATTCACAAGACTTTCCACCCACTGGCCCGTGATCTTCCTGCATTCTGCATCATTGCATGTGTTGCATGAGTCTGAAGAGGAATTTACAGACTGGTATCAGATATATGGGCTAATATTGGACTTAAGGACTTGATCTGGATTGGGCTGGGATGTTTTCTTAATATACAATTCCTACTTATATAAAGCTCTTTCTTACACACACACACAGTCATTAGCTCCAAAACCCACACTAGAGGTGGCAGGAGCCAGAGGCCAGGACATCAAATGGGAGCTGCACCAGCCCCCACCCTGGGGCAGGGGGCCCATCACAGCGCCCTCATCTTCACTTTGCTGTCCTGCCTCTCACAGCATGGTCTAAAATCAAATCTCTCCCAACTAGTAGTTCTGCACCAGGGTCAGACAGCCACCTTTGGGGCTCCTTTCCCCAGTTCGTTCAGTATCTGGAGCCCCCTAATCTGGTTGCATTTTGAAGAAAGGCTGAGAAATGAACCTGCAGTGTAGACACCGAACCATAGGTGAAAATTCACTTGAATACACTGACCACTTAGCCACTCACACCACTGATCTAGGCTCCTTTCTTACTGCATTGATCAGAAATTGAATAAAACCTGAGGTGTGTGGAGTCTTGGTGGTGTAGTGGTTATGCATTGGGCTGCTAACCTTAAAATCCAGAGTTGGAAACCACCAGCCTCTTTGAGGGCGAAAGACGAAACTTTTCCTGTAAGTAGTCACCATCTGGGACATCCACAGGGGCAGTTCTACCTTGCCCTGTAGGGTCGCTATAACTTAGAATTGACTTGATGCAGTGAATTGAGTCAGAGGGATGCGCACCCAACCTTACACTGTAGATTGGCTGCTCAGAAGCTGGGTCTTTCTGTCCAGGGGTGGACTCCTGGGGGCCGGTGGGAGTAAGGGGACTGCAGCCCTCCGCATCACCCGACTTACTGGTAAGAAGATCGGTAGTCCCTGATGAGTCCTAGTCCCAGCCCCAGAAGCGTGAGAACCACCAGTTTCGCCATGACTATCAGCAGCCAGCCCTCCGCCTGTGTGGATGCACAGAAAGACCTGCGTCTGTGCTCGCTTGCAACACAGCCTGGCTGGCTCTGGGGCTCTGGCCACCCACCGGGCGATTGGCCTGTCCGGC